AATAGAAGAAGGGGACGACAGAGAATGAGGTGGCTGGATGGAGTCACTGAAGCAGTAGGCGTGAGCTTAAATGGACTCCAGAAGATGGTAGAGGACAGGAAGACCTAGAGGAACATTGTCCATGGGGGTCGTGATGGGTCAGACACGACTTCACAACTGAAAACAACAACAATTCCACAGTAGTTATACATGCATCAACATTATCATGCCAAATCAATTGATTCTGATTCATGATTTCATCAGTTGCTTTAACCTTTCCAGTTAAATACCTCCGGAACTGAGTTACATCATTTGCCCAGCATTTCTATAGATACGAGGACTGCTATTGTCTAGGATTGATCATTGTATCATATAGCCAATCCATTGCCACTTCATTTATGCATATATATGGCTGCCCAACTTAAACCATGTGACTCTGGGCAGTGTAAAAAGAAAAAAAGCCATAATTAATACAAAATAACTCATTAAAACATACTAAATAAAGTGGTAAATTATGTCATGTAACTGTTGGCAAATCCATGATTTCTTTTCATGTGATATGTTAAGCATTTGCCATTTCCTAGATTTTTTCGGTAGTTTTCAACTGGTATACCACATTTGCATTTAAGGCCAAGTTTTACAATCTCATCAGCCCATTGATTAAATAATATCCTCTTGAACTAGGTTAGTATAATGCTTTTGTAATGCAACAGAAGTTGACCAAACATTCTCTAATTCAGTTTCAGTTCAGAATTTCTTTACTAACACCTTTCATGATAATCTTTTGTTTGGGGTGGATTTTATTAATCAAAGTTATATGGTCATCCATCTAACAAAAACTGACTTTAATCAATGGATCCAGCTGTTGATCTTCCCAATTCACAATGTTCAATTTTTTATTGTCAAAGATCGGGAATAATTGCTATACATGACTTTTGTCTTCTTCAAGTTCATTTTCACTGATTTACTGATGTTAATTCTATTGTCTTTTAAGATCATACTAAATATGATGAAACATAGGTGGTTAAGGTTATCTATTGTTCATCCTATTTCTTTGGATCAATTCAGACAATTGAGTATTACTTCTAGACTTTGCTGAGAATAGTTTCAGTGAAATTTGTTGATCTTTGCATGTTGATGATGACAGTTGTAGCATTTCTGTATAACAGTATTGATGTATGGTCTTTCCACACCTTGCCTCTCTAGCTTATTGCCAAGTCATTTATAAGCAAGGCCTGTTGCTTATAAATCTCAGATTTTAAAGATTCAGATAGAATCTTGCCACCTTGGAATTTTGGAACTTCATCAGAACTTACCCGTATTTCATTTGCACCCTTCTGCAAAAGGAGGTAGCTTCTATCTGTTGCAGTAAAAAAAAAAAAAGCCAAATCTGAAAATCCACTAGATGGCAATAGAACACTAAAGAAAAACTTTAGATAGTATGCAAAAAGAAAAAAAATCATGAAATGCCTTTGAACAGATTTGGTATCCTTAAATGGTTTATCTAAAAGTGGCAGAAATCTGGATAATTAACATGACCCTGTTTTTTTAATGAAATATAACACATCTCATACATATTATTTAGTCTTAGCATTTATTCTGAGTATACTTTCTAATATATTCACTTTGGTTCCTGTATTGCCTAAAAGTTTTAAGCTTGATTTAGTGAACTAACTGTTATTACTAGATTTACACAATGTTCTGAAGATGGTAGAGGACAGGAAGACCTGGAGGAACATTGTCATGGGGTCACGATGGGTCGGACACGACTTCGCAATTAACAACAACAACAACAACACAATGTTCTAGTGGTCTTTATGCAGAAGTTGGTCTTTGCGGAGGGGCTGAATAAATCATTATCAGACATGTTTTAGGGCAGCAGTTCTCAAGTATTTCTTGATTTTAATTTCCAGTATAGTTAATAGAGATAGGAGAGCCCATTTGGTGTAGTGGTTTTAAGGCACCTCATTAGAAACCTGAAGAACATGAGTTCTATTTCTGCCTTAGGCTCAAAGACCACTGGCTAGTCACTATGTCTCAGCTCTAGGAAACAGGCAATTGCAAATTGCTTCGGAAATCTTGGAATGATCTTGTCAGCAATAAACTCTGACTCAGCGGGATGGATGGATAGATGGATGGACAGATAGATCCCATATAAATTAAAGCTCTTTGGGGTCCTCAATCATTTTTATGATTATAAAGGGATCCAAATCTTTTGCGAACTGTGCTCTAGTGCAGGGGTCCTCGACCTTGTCAACTTTAAGATTTGTGGACTTCAACTCCCAGAATTTCTCAGCCAGCTGAATTCTGGGAGTTGAAGTCCACAAGTCTTAAAGTTGACAAGGTTGAGGACTCCTGCTCTAGTGGATCCCGCACGGAGCAGAGGACTGCACAAGATGATTGCTATAGTCATTTCTAATTGTAATTCTATGAAAACTCACCTAAATCATATTATGACTTAATAATATGATAACCAGGATTTAGAAAATCTAAAAAAGTGTGTTGAGAATCAAATTACATTGATATTCATAACAGAATGAAAAAAAATCTAGCAATCAGTAAGGTACTGAACTAGACTTTCAGAAACTGAAGAACGAAAAATAACTCTTATATATCCCTTAATCTGTTTGGTAACATCTAAACACGGAACACGACATCATTTTTGCAAAATATCCTAATTAAAGAAACAGAAGAACCATTAATGCTTTTTCAAGCTATGAAGAAGCAATCCAATTATCTGCTGCCAGAACAAAACAAACACAGATTCTTCCCATAGGAAGAAGAAATTGACAGCCAAATGATTCCCATGGAAAAGTTACTGAATTCTCAGTGAAACTCCTTTGTAAGATGAAGCCATTATTTTTAATTCAGCTTTGTATGCCCTGGCTTTCTGCATCTATAATCTCCTGCCAATTAGAGTCAATAAACACCCAAAGCATTAGTAAAAACAAATGTACTTCTGTATCCTTTCTTTGTCTAAAGGACTTAAATTGCAGATCTTTGTAACATGGCTTCTATTGATTAGAGTGATCCTCTCCGGGCTTTCATCACTTGTGTCTTCTTTCAGCTCATCTCCGTTTTCCCTTTTGATGGACTCTGCAGTTCCAGCTGTCACTTGAGGGGAACTCTTCCTGTTAAACAGCATCCGACAGGCTCTTAGCTATAGAGATTTAAATAGCCCTCTTATCACCGTATATTTCTTACAGGAGGTTTATTTTTATTTTCTTTCACCAACCTCTAGAATACCTCCTTACAAAAGTTAACACTCCTAACTTTAGAATGACTCTGTATGCCTTTTTGGTTGAGTAAATATCTTTTTTGGAAAAACATGAGATATCAAACTACTGAGAGATATAAAGCATATGGTATGAGTTCTAAATCACTATTGCTGAAAGGAAAAACCATATAACATTGGGCTGATTGGAAACTTACAATCCACCCAAAGTATATTCTTTTTTTATTCCATATAATTTTATTTCACTGTTCTTCAACTTGTAATCTCAGTATATGTTTCTTTTTGAGTTACCCAAACTCTCAAACTATAAATGCACATAGACACACAATCTTAAGCAAGACTAACCCCTCATTATTACAGCAATATCCATTCTAATAACAGTTTTTATATTGTGGGCAGGGTGAGAAAATAAGGCTAGCAGAGTGACAAGAGTTTTTAAATGAAAAACTTAATAAAAACATTTCTTAAATCAGGCATGTCAAATTGCCGACCCACAAGCCAGATGCATCATGCTGAAACCGTGCCCATCCCATTGCTGGAGAAAAAGTCCCCATTCGTCGCACGACATCACGTGACATTGCGAGTTTGACATGCCTGTCTTAAATAAACTTTTACCTAACTCAATGTTTAGAGATCTTTTTTCCAAAAACTATCTGTTCAGGTAAATTATGAATGTACATTATGTACCTCTGTTTATCAGTGACTACAACAAAGAATCTGAAAACAAAAAAAAAGGTAGATACTACAAATATTATCCTGTCTTTGCAGCCCACCCTCCCCAATGCTGGTTACTCTTCCTGGGGTTTGGCCTTAGCAATACAGCTGCAATTAACACTGAGTTTATCTGACAAGGTAGCGTGGGCTAGCTGCCTTGCTAATTGTCACTATGATGCTTTGGAAGAAAATAATCAGGAGAAAGACAGCAAAGCCAGTGAGAAACAGACACTGGGAGTCTTTGGAAGATGGGGAACAGTTGAGGGGGGAGGGGAGGAGAATATAGAGACATAGGAAAAGCTCTGCGAATACATACTGCTATGGTAGATACCTTATTACCTTATTTTCCAAAATGGGCAGTACACCTTAAGACTATATTTTATATCTCACAGCCTACATTTATGCATTGCAGGGCAATACTGTAGCACCATAGGCAATGCAGTTGTTTTTCAGACATGTGAGCTACTAAACTTTTAACTGAAGAGCATATCCCAACTGATCTTCCAATTTCATCCAAACCATTAAACCGTTATTCTTAGATTTATTTTATTTTTTACATTCCACTTTTATTGTCCCAAAAGTGCTTTTTCAAAAGACAACTGGACTTTGATTTTCCTTGAAGACGGTTCACTTCTTATCTAATAAGCTTCTTCAGTTCTGACTGAATGGTGGATGATATCTTCCACCATTCAGTCAGAACTGAAGAAGCTTCTTCATCCCACTTTTATTATTTTTACAAATAATTCAACACAGCACAAATATCCAGCACATCCTTCTTCCCCACAACCACCATAGTTAGGTGGGATGGGCTAAGAGAGAATTGACTTAAAGTCACCCAGCTAGCTTTTATAAAACTAGAACTCATGCTCTCCTGGGTTTTAGCCTGGTGCCTTAACCATTAGACCAAACTGGCTCTGAACAGCTCAGAAGGGCCAAAGCCATTCCACGCCACATTATTTCAGGCGTCTCTTCCTCCTCCGTAAGGACCAGAAACCTGGGGTGCGTTGGCTGGGGCTGCGTCCCACAGTGTCTCCCTCCCCTGCTCCCACACGGCGGAGCTCTCGCTCTAGGTCCGGGGGCGACAGCAATGAATGGAGGCCTCGCTACAGCACCGCCCCTCATCTCGGTGCGCCGCTCGCTTGGCGACAAGCTCGGCCTTGCCTCGGGCGGCTCTCGCCCAGCCCCGTCAGCTCCAGTCAGCAGGAACCCGGAAGCAGGCGGTGCTGCAACCAAGCCGTTTCCTGCGCCAGAGTCGGAGACGGGGCTGAGTTACAATCTGGTGAAGCGGAGCAGCTGCGGAGCCATGACTCACCAGACCGGCATCCACGGTAGTAAAACGGGGACCCCGGGGGGGGGCTGCTGTTACACCTTTTGTGCCGCCCCGGAGCGCTTCCCTCCGAAGCCGGTTGCGAGCGGCCCGCCCAAGCCGCCGCTGCCCATTCATGTCTGTTTCCCCGCTTTGCCTTGACGACTGGCTGTCCTCTCGCGCAAACCTCCATTATTCTGCCCTCCGGCTCTGTTCCCTATCCCAGGGTCGGAGAGAAGGGGCGCTGATACGCAGCTCGGCCTCGGGTCATTCAGACGACTCTTCCTCCCGGTTGAGTCCCTTGGTCTTTCCCGCCTGCGGTTTTGACCCATCTGCCTGTGCGGTGGAAGTGGGAGGCTTTTGAAGCAGGAGGGCACCTTTACAATGAAAAGTAATTCCTAGAAATCTCGCTCGATGCTGTTGTGGGTGGCCGTGATTGCCAAGGATATCCCACTGCGCCCCATATTTTTTCTGACATGATAGTCATCAGCCAGTATGCGTTTATTCAGAAGGTTGCCTACACCATTTATTTGAAGGTTAAAGGCATCATTTCCTCAGGTCTTACTCATCTGGATGTTCTAGCAAACTTGGGCACAGTGATCCTTGCTAACCTATCATTCTACTCTGAATTGCTCTTGTGAATTGCTGATACTCGGCTATATATATATTCATATTCAGATCTGAATAGAAGGCTCTTTCTTTCATTTCATGTCTTTGGGTGCAGTTGCTGATGGAATATTGTGGGTACTCATGGCATTTCTCCATTCTGCAATGGACCTGAGATGTGGCAGCCTGTTCTGGTTGCTGCTCTATAATTGCTTAACATGTTGGCTCTGCAGTGTGAATCATAATTGCCGGAGCCATTTCCTCCACCACATGGAAGCAGCTCTATGGTTTTACAGTATATCTCTGCTTCCTTGTATCTTTAGCATCCAGAGGCTAAATCTTACCGGTGTCTTTCTGCATGCTAGGATTTTGTTGAAATGCAGCACAGGATTACCATGCTACAAGAAGTAACTATAATTAAAGATTTGACTTGGAAAGCTGTCAGTAAATTATGCGTATATCAGCTGCACAAATCAAATAGGGGTTATTATAATTGGCCCATCCTGCACCCCTCTCCAGCTCTCCCCCAAGTCCTTACCTTGCTTTGCAATGCACTGTGAACTTCCAGTTTACAGTGTCAGGCCATGGAAATACATATGAGGCCTAGTCTACTTATTGATAATACAACCTCTTAGATGCACTATTTCAATAGTTGGAGGTGTTGCATGCTGCTAATTTTAAGTGCATTACATTCAACAGTGCGATCTGCATAAACTGATATAACCCAAAAGAGTGAGAGACTGATAGTAGATCAGCAAAGGTGCAATTTGATGTAACAGGATGAACCTGAGTTGCAAGAACTGTGTTTAGAAACCAGGAAAATATCAGTGAGTGGTAGTGCTCAGAACTTGTAAAAGTAGCAGTGTTGCTGGCTGTGCTTAGATTAAGTTAGATGCTGGATTGACTGAATGGTTAGATGAAAAGCACATCTGCATTTTCTCTGAAAGAACAATCTCATGGATAGTGATAGTTTAAGCTTCATTAGCAATCATTATGCTTGTTACAGTTTTCTAGGCTTCTTGGATTTGATAAAATTCTGATATTTTAAGCAATTCCCTTTCAGTTAGGGTAGATTTGGCAAGCAAGATTACAGTAATAACAATCTAAGGTCTATTCATAAACTAGTAGGTAAGCATGGAGATATTTAACTGCTTTCATCACAATGGAATATAAACATTTTAAATAATTATTTTATTCCAACTTTCTTCCAAGGATTTTATCTCTTAATATTTTTGTCTCCTATTATGTTATCCACATATCAAGGTTTGACTAAAAAGCAGTGGCTGATACTCACCTGGTAAGTTTTATGGCTCAGTTGAGATAATGAATTTGGACCCACAGTCCTGTTTCTGGTTCAGAACCGTTCATTGTGCCACTTCATTATGGTAACTAAAAGTGTACAGTCAGTCCTTGACTTACAACCACAGTTGAGCCCAAAATTTCTGTTGTTAAACAAGACATTTGTTAAGTGAATTTTGCCCTATTTTACTGCCTTTCTTGCCACAGTTGTTCAGTGAATCATTGCAGTTATTAATAACATGGTTGTTAATCAAATCTGGCTTCCCCATTGAGTTTGCTGATCACAAGGTTGCAAAAGCTGACCACATGACCCCAGGACACTGCAACCTTCATTAATAAGAGCCAATTGCCAAGCATCCAAATTTTGATCATGTGACCATAGGGATGCTGCAACGGTCGTAAGTGTAAATAACAGCCATCAGTCACTTTTTTCAGTGCAGTGGTAACTTCAAACAGTCACTAAATGAACAGTTGTAAGTTGAGGACTACCTCTATTAATATTGAAGCTTATGCATATAGTGTCTTTGCAGCTGATTTAACAATATTGTACCACAAGGGAGGTATGTGTGTCGGTATGTATGTTAGGAAGAACTATGGTATGTTAGTATGTGGTTTTTTGTCCTGCAAACTATTTTGAGCTGTGTTACTTGGGCTGGGCTTGCTCGTCCCTGATCTGCCATTCATTAATTATTTAGTTGGGTTTTTATGTCATTTCAGTCTTTTAATCAGCTCAGTTTTCAGTTCTAATAACTAGGATGAAAACTGTAAAATGGTAAGCAATGGCATCATACTGTAATCAATAACATAACAGAATAATAGTAATAATAATAATAATAATAGCAAAACATCAAATAATACCTATGGAACGTCTAATCATCTGGTATTGCCTTTCAGCCCCAAGAGCAGCTAAATTACAAGTCTCCTACTTTGCCACAAGCCTCAAATAGCCTTCTGATATAATAATAGGGACGAAGACTTAATATCCATTTGATGTCGTATAATCAAGCAATCAAAAGAGCTAGCTGCTTTCCTGACTGATTTTCCCCTAAAACTGAAATATGTTCTTGCTGTTTCTCTTAAAGGTTTTTGCCATATACTCTTGAGGGGTTTATTTATTTATTTTTTAATTTCTTATCATCTCTAGAGCCAGTTTGGTGTAATGGTTAAGATACTAGGCTAGTAACCTGGAGACTGAATTGTAGTCCTGCCTTAAACACAAAGCCAGCTACTTGACTGTGGGTCAGTCACTGTCTTCTCAGCTCTAGAAATGTGGCAGTAGCAAATCACTTCCAAAATCCTGCCAAGAGAACTGCAAGGACTTGCCTAGACAGTCTCCTGGAGTCAGTCATGACTCAAAAGTATATACACAGAGCATATCTTACACTATTTTCTGTCAGAGTTTATACTATGTTCTCATTAGGAAACGAGGATCTTTTTTCATCCTCTTTTTCACAAATCTTTCATTTCTGTGGTCAGCTGTACCTTGTTATGGTAAAGTGTTGGGAGACAGTTTCCCACTTGCCTGCATGCAAAATGTAATAGCTTTCTACAATAGTCATTCTTTTCTTTTAGTTCATGGTCACTGCCTTGGATTAAATCAAGTACAGATAGTCCTTGTTTTACAACCATTTGTTTAGTAACCGTTTGAAGTTATAACAGCACTGGAAAAAATGTCTTATGATTGCTGCAGCATCCCCATGGTCATGTGATCAAAATTTGGGTACTTGGCAATAGTTGCACTGTCCCAGGGACACATTACCACCATTTGTCAGCTGGCTTCAGCATGCAAAGTCAATGGGAGAAGCCAGATTCGCTGAGTGATTGCATGATGCCCTTAACAACTCCAGTGAATCACTTAAGAGTAACAAGAGGTCATAAAAAAGGAAACACAACTCACTTAACAACTGCCTTGATTAGCAAGGGAAATTTTGTGCTCAATAGTAGTCCTAAGTCAGGGGTCGGCAGCCTTGGCTCTTTTATGACTCGTGGACTTCAACTTATTTGTTGTAGTTACACAATTATACCAAGTCATCCCACTTTTTAATTCCCAAAAATGCCTACAATGGTAATCCATCAGAATCATGGTGTTGGATAAATAGTGGTCCCAAACCTCTACACATAAATGTAAAATCAAAGGATGGATGCAGTTATTGTTCCATCTTCTAAATATTTTGTTTTTTTAATGCACTTTTCATGTTGTTCTACCTAGCTCTTCGGTCTCTTGAGAGAAATGCACAGAATACTAGTTTCAGTCTAGCTATATTAACCAAGCATAACTATCTTATTCTGCTTCTGCAACTAATTGCATTGATTGAAAGAAACATTCTTTGATGTAGGGTAAACTCTAAAAATAATTACTGTTTACCCAGAGAGTTTAATTATTAATATATATTTTATGTGCAAGGTTATCATTACATTATATTACAGCACTGTGTAGCCTTTTTTTTTACTTTTTATTACATGCTTGTGGGGATCTTCTTAAAACTTTGCCTTCTGTTCTAAATTATAATTATAATCTATTGGGTTTGTTCTCATGGATTAGTAGTCCACTGATATTACAATACTATAATATAATGAGTATTCCACTGTGGATGAGTAGATAAATTTCTAATATGAATCGTAACCCACAGTTTACACCTGACAGTTATCTTTACATATGGCAAATCATACAAAATTATCACAATTTAGCATGACATTAATCCTTAAAATGACATTTGGGTAACAGATAGAAGTTGATTAGGTTGTGATTAAAGAGAGCTAGTCCTCTTACTTGTATGACTAAATAGAGAAGGTAAACCAGTAAGAATCAAATGGAGTAATGCTGATGTGCAAACTGGAACAAAACTTGACTTAATACAAAAAATTATTCTTCCCTTTCCTATCTCTTCGTCCTTTAGTGCCAGGAACAAGATATGATGCTAATATTTGCTTTTTCTTTCCATTAATCCTTGTTAGTTGTTGTGTATGGACCAGAAATTACAGTTTGCTTCATACCTATTTCATAACCTGTGGTTTGCAGTTGGCTTGATTAGAAACAGATCGATTTGTTGGAACAGGATATCCTGTATTTTTGCATTAATCAGGTTTGTGAAAAATGAAATTAAACACAATGGAATC